TTGGGAGGAGGATCCTGCTTTCGGGACAACGTAAAATAAAAGTTTCAGGCAATCCGACCTATCCCTTCTAGACTAAGGAACACCTTGAGGCATATAACCCTCTCAACATCATTAATTTTAAAAATAAACCTTTAATTTTTCCACTCCCTTCCTTGTCTTCATTTTCTGGTTCTCGAATTTCAACTAAACCATCGTTTGTCTAAAATCAAATTAAAATTTTGTTCCAAAATTTGGAGTAACTTACAATATTTAATCTTTCCATTAGAGCGACCTTTTCAGTTAGAGATGTCATTTCTTGACGTAAATATTTTAAAGCAGTTTGAAAAGCTATAAAAAAATTAAAGGAAAAAATTTTGATTTGGGGGTTTAGCGACCGGTTATTTAACCAATACCGATTCAGATTTCGGTTATGACGCTAACTTTTGGAAGAAAAAGAGCAGGGAAATGGAGCTGCTAATAAATAACAAAATTTAGACGAGGTTGGATAAGGCCCGTGACCAGCAGTGGATCAGGCCCGTATCCAGGGGTGGATCAGGCCCGTAGCCCCCCCCCTCTCCGAGAAAAATCTTGGCTACGGGCATGGGTTGGAGGACAGATTAGTCCAAAGTTTGAAAAGGGACCGTTTTGGTTTTATAAAACCCGTCGCCAACAACCCTAATTTATATTTAAAATCTTTCTAAAAAACCTTCAATTTGTCTATCCAAAATTTCTAAAGCTTGTTCACGCGTTCTCATAACAAATAAATTATCAGCAAGAAAAACCATACAGCGATCGCCTGGCGCTGTAATTTTCAAAAATTTCTTTCAATTAAAAAATTTTTTAACCTTGACATTCAATTAAACGCCTAGCATTTTCATAAACAGAAACCTCGTGTTCTTTATGGGCTATAAAGGCTTGGATATTTTGAAGCTCCTGAAAAAATTATTTTTAAGTTTGAAGCAGTTAAGGCGTCGGGGCCAGGTTTTATTCTTTTACCCAAACCAGGCCTATCATTTTAACAAAAATACCCTTGTTTCCTGGCTACTGGGTCCTTAAAAGACGTTTCCAGGCCCAAAGCTAGGAGGTGGGGTAGGATGGGTGGTTGCCCCCCCTGAAGATTTTTACTGGCTACGGGGTTTGTAAAAGCCGTCACGGGTCGGATTGGAACTCTAATTCTTACTCTTCTAAATTTGAAAAAAATTCAAAATTTAAATATAATTTTGCAAAAAAATTGTGAAATCGTGACCCAAAAATTTGAAAAAAAATCTGAAACAATTTCCCACCATCAAAAAAAAATTTAAAAAAAAACTAACTAACAATTAAGTGAATTTCTCTAGCAAGGCCAATATCAAGAATATTTGAAGCTGCATTAAAAGAATGTCCAACAACATTTGAATTATTTTGTTTATTTATAGAAGCATCCATTTAAATATTCAAATTAAAATTAAAATAAGGCTGAAATAAGCTAAAAAAATATTTTTAAAATTAAAAAATAATTAAGGTAAAAATTTAAAAAATCATTCAATATTTTAATTATTTAATTAAAAATGATACAAATTTTATGAAACAAAAAAATAATTTTATTGAAAAAGTCAATGAAAAACAACAATTTTTAAAATGACAATTTTTAACGTTAAAACAAATTTTTTATAAAAATTTTTAATGTGTTTTATAAAAAACGAAAAAAAGAATATTTAAATTTAAACAGCAGTTGAAAGTTTAACAAAATGTAAACAAACTAAAAAATCAATAAAAACAATTTTGCATGATAAATTTTTCGGAAAGAAATCGGATGAAACACCTAGACATGTTTAGACGCGAAATATCTTAAGAGGTCTTCTGGAGCAAATTGTTTAATCTCTCCGTTGACGTTTGCTTTGATGTGTGGTTTATTTTCTTTATCAGCAACCTAAAAATTTTTTGGAAGAATGAGAGGGTGACAATAAGTCCCAAAAATAATTTTTGCGGACAAAAGTTAAAATTTGCGGACAATTTAAAAAAACCTTCCAAATTTGCGGACAAACGCTCAATCTTGCGGACAAAAGTTCCCTCTTGTGGACAAAAATCCAATATGCGGACAGAAATTTCCAACTTGCGGACAAAATTCTCATCCTAACCCTTTGTCCGCAACCCCAAAATTATTCAAGAAATATACCCCAAACGGCCACAACTTTCTTCAAATCTACCACAAAGAACCTGTTTAGGTGTACAGCCCAAACCTCTCATGTTTTCCTTTGCTCTATCTTCAAAAATGTCTGACCTCGGGACAGAACTCCCAAAGCCAACTTCCCCGTGACGGACCATCTTACCCCGTTGCCGGAACAACTTGGAATTTTTTCTTGAAAAGTAATAAAAGTTAAACTTAAATCCGAATCGCATAAAAATTTGTTTGGACGTCTAAAGTTTTCATTGGACGTATAAACATTTCATTGAACGTATAAAGGTTGTATGGACGTATAAAGGTGTGATTGGAGCCTAAACATGACAAGAGCCAATAATTTTTAACAATAAATAAAAAAATTTAAACTTCATTTATAAGAAGGCCCAGGTTGGTCATCTAATTCAATAACAGGATCATCTGGAGTAGGAGATGATGTATAACCATACTCCTTGAAAATAAAATTAATTAGTATTTAAAAATATTAAAGGCACAAAAATTCGGTAATGCGCTACCCTAATTTTTTCGGGTACGTACTTACTTCCCCCTAGTCAAATTTTTCGGTTTCCCCGTTTCCCGTAAACTCAGCCAATATCGTAAACTCAGCCAATAGTATACTGAAATAATTACCCTGGGTATTTCTTCAACTTTCACAGAAAGGGTGATTAATAAGGAGGGTGCTTATTTGAAAATATAAGCCCTCTGAAAAAATATAAATGTATAAATTGACCCATTTGCGTCCTTTCGGGGGGTTTCGAAAATTTTCAAAGATTTCGGAATTTTTCTTTGGAGGACCCACAGCATTTTTTAAAAAATATAAAAAACGGACAAAATTCCCATCCTAACCCTTTGTCCTATTATTAAAAAGAGATTTTTAAAAATAAAGGAAAGAAGGAAAAGTTACCTTATCAATTTGATGCACAGCTGCATGGCAAATTACTTTGGTCATGTAAAAATGCAGTATTAAAAATACTGCGACGAAGTTTTTTGGGGTAGGATGCATCTAAAAGTTATAAATATTATTTCTTAAATCTACAACAAAGAACCTGTTTAGGAATACGGCCCAAACTTCTCAACTTTTCCTTTGCTCTATCTTCAAAAATGTTTGACCTCGGGACAGAATTCCCAAAGCCAAAAGGTGTTTGTTTTTTCTTTGGTGTTTTGTCCATATTACAAATCCTGAAAATAAATCGATTCTGTAATCCCCGACAAAATATTTAATTAAAAAGCTTGGCGACAATTCGGCCGGCGAAAAGTTTGCCCCGCGACAATTCGGCCGGCGACAATTCGGTCGCGACATTTTGGCCCGCGACAATTCGGGCTGTACCCGTAAAATATGTACAAAAAATAAAAATTTATAAACGTTTTGGAAAAGTGATATCTACCTTAAGGAAAAGTAAAATCTATTTAAGATATCTATCATTATAAGGTACGATTTTAGTCCACTTAGTCGCGATGGTACTTTTTTTCATTCGCTTAAAACTTAAACCAAGACACAAACGTCGGTACACAATGATCCCCCACCGTTCGATTGATATGTATATTAATTATGGGTACACGACTAATAGGCGCGGCCGAATAGGCGCCATTTTTTCGGCGCAGCATGTTTTCGGCGTTTAGGGAAAAATTTTAAATATACAAATAATAACTCATTTGTGAGTTCGACGAGCAAAGTCGAATGATATCGACACCAGCTTGTGGCTGGATATCTTGAGAGGATGTAAGGAAAATAAAAAATTTTACAAAATTTTAGTTATTAATTTAAAAACGTAACAGATATGCAAGGGAAAACATTAACAGCCGTGCTTCGCTGCGGTCGTGCTCGCTTCGCTCGCTTCGCTCCAGGCTTCAATAGTTCCGTAATTACGTAGCGATTATGTGGCCAAGCCCGGTTTTTCTTGACAAAGCGGTTGTTTGATCCATTTATATAACGCATTAATCCATCCATAAAACTATCACCCCAAGGTGAGGAACGGCCAGAGCGTGTAGAAGCTGGAGCATCAAATCTGAGGTGTTAAATTAAAACCTCCTTATTCAACGCTTCAAAAGACCATAAAATTAAAAAAAAATTTCCAATTTTTGTCATCTCCTTTTTTACTAAAAATCCAGTTAAATTTTATTCGTTCAATCGTACTTTTCTCTCTCTTTCAATTTCACATCATAAACAACATATGATTTTTTGTCTACGTTATTAAAAGAGGGGGAAAACCTTTTTACTTTGAACCCTCTGTTTAACAAAAAAAATTTTTTAAATCGCTGGTTAATTCCCTTTCTTTTTTCAATTTCCACCAATAATCACCTCAAACTATCTCGCCAAAAAAATAAAAAAATTTGGGGGAAAACTAATCAACCATACAAAGAATTATTATAATCTGCAAATAAAAGAAATTAATTTTCTTTTTTTTTCAATTTTAATCATTTCAACGAAATCATTTCTCGTTTCCTTTCTTCTTTCTCTCGGGAGGTTTTTAGGGGGTATTTTTACTTTTTTTGGGGGAGCACCTCATTTTAATTGATAATTCTCCCTTTTTTTTCTTGGCAGCCTCTATCAAATTTTCAGGGACCTTTGGTGTTTTATTGACTAAAAATATTAATTAAAAAATTAATTGAAGGAACAAAAAAGAGTAAACATATTTTTTGATAGAACCACTTCTCTTTTCATTAAAAAAATATTTTTTATTTCACGTGATTTTATTTCATTCATTTGTGTACCTTCACCTATGCTGCTTTTCTTTCTGCAGCAAAATTAAAAAAAGCTTTTACTTAAAAATAGTTTGCTAACTAAAAATAAATTTAATAAAAAGCTTCAAAAAATGCTGACTGAGCAAACATTGACTTTTTTACTCTCCCTTCAATTTTCACCACTTTGGTGTAGTTGGATAGTGTTAGGTTTGGACTACTCAGAGGTCGTGGGTTCGAATCCCACCCAGGGAAAATCATTTTTATTTTAAGAAAATTAAAATTTTTTCTATTAAAAATTGTTAAAAACATCAAAAAATATTTTTGAAAATTTTTATGGAGAAAATAAAAACGAAAAAACTAAAAATATACTAATGAGAATCATGAAAAACATTTGAGCATTAAAAGACGTCCTCTCTGTGCAGGTGCTCCCAACATTCCTTCTTTATTGTTAAACAAAAGACGCTGGCCAGGCATTAAAGTTATTATTTGAGTATTTTCAGCGCATACACGGCCAAATTTTTGAAGGGATTCGTATAGCCTGTCCAATGATTTTACTGTTATTGTACTTGAACGAGCTGCATTGTTGAAAACACCCTGGAATAAAAAATTCGAAAACGTCCTATTTTCATCTCAAATTTCGTTATAGTCACCAAGAAAAATCAGAAAAAAAAATCCAAGATTTTTTCCACTCCCCAACAACTTTTCACCACTTTGGTGTAGTTGGATAGTGTTTGGTTTTTGCCACCCAAAGGTCGTGGGTTCGAATCCCACTCAGGGAATATTATTTTTTTGAAAGAAAATTATCATCCTTTCAGTCCGGAAAATTGACTATAACCAAATTAAAAAAAATATAAACCGATTTAATATTCCCATCTTCATCAACTGAACAAATTGGATGCCTTGAACGATATAACCCTCCTCCGTTATATTCCAAAATTGAATTAGCCAAAAATTCAAATTCTTCTGGGGAGTGTTCTCGTAGTTGTGACAATGTCTTACAAGTATTTACAATTGAAATTTGTGCTGGACCATTCATTGTTTCGATTGTTACAATTGAGGGGACGTGTGAAAGATGAGGCCAGACAGTTCCCTAAATTTGTAGAAAAGTCAGAAAAATTGTAAAACTTAAAAATCTAAAAATGTCAACAAGAAACGTACGAAAAGCATATTTCCTCTATTGAATACCAGGGCATTCTATTTTTCAAAGGGTCTTCCAAAGGGCATTATATAAGAGAAAAGGGCCTTAAATGGAGGGAGGCTTCTATTGGAGAGGACCTTCCGTTAGGGAATAGGCCAGAAACATCACCAAGCAAAAAAGTTCAAACCGGTTCTTGTGCATAATCCTCCCAATAACACGTTCCCAATGCCATGCTCTCATCTAACGAATCCATTTTTGAATGATCCAAAATTGAGTGATTCTGCTTTTCTTCTGCTGTTGAGGACGAGGATACAGTTGTTGAAGTGTCTTTAAGTAGATCAGAAATTTTATTTAGACGATCATTTTGATTAAAAGCATTTTGACGAAGAAATGAAGAAGTATACCTTAAAATTGAGAACTTATTCAAGTTAAAAAATATGATGGGAGGGAAACTGCACTAAGGGGGGAAAATGAGGGGAAAAATTTTTAAAAATTATTTTTCGTTACTTTGAGGCAACAAACGGCGGCCATTGAACTTCTAACGCTTCTTTTGAACATTTAATTTCTTCTGGTCGAGTATTCAAATCCAAATGAATAAGGCTTGGACGTCTACGTGCATTATCTCTGAGCCAAATGTAGGAAAACTTGAAAAAAAAGAAAATTAAGTGTTAATAAAATTAAAAATGCCCAACGACTGAACGGATCAGGGGCCGGATTATTGTGGTATTTAAAAAATATGGTGGGGGGAAACTGCACTGGTGGGGGAAACTGCACAAAGGGGGAAAATGGAGGGAATCAGGGTATTTTTCGCGATCTGTCGGACCCCATAAAATGATCATGCCAACCACTACCAATTAATAAAATTAAACCTTAGCTAAAAGACCATCTTCCCATTCAACTTGAACACAACGTTGTAAATTACTAGCTTTTTTAAGACACTGCATATTTGATTAAATAATTGAATTAAATAACTGAAAATTAAATTTTTTATTAAATTTGAAAAAAATTTTTTGAAGAAAAATGTGAAAGTGAAAATAAATGAACGAACAAAATTGAGAGATTTTAAATAGCGAAAAGGAAAACCCTAAAAAGACAGCCCCCCTCCATTCGTCATTCAATTTATTTCAACGAAAGAAAATTAAAAAAAAATTGGGAAGCATATGAAAGATTGTTAAGAAAGAAGAATGTTTGTGTGTGCTTCCCCCCCTTCCCTCTCAAAATTTTTTTCTTATCTAAAAAATATTTTTTTGCAGGAAGATTTAGTTCCCCGTCTTTTCCTCTATATTCTTTGTGCAGCAAAAACAGGACTAAATTTTTTCTTGTATAAAAATTAAAAACAAACAATTTGTTAATGTAAACAGCTCTCTTCTACCAGTCGTCAGACCAACTGGCCGATTTTGCTCTAGTTGGCAAAATGTCGCTTGGACTAAATGTCGTTTGGATTAAGTGACCAGCAACGTATTTAGGCATGTGCGTAAAATTAAAAAAGGCAGATATTTAAATCGTTAATCCAGACATTTTTTGTCTTTTATCTTTAAGTATTTTCTTATCAATTTAATCATTTACTTATCATTTTTTGGGACGCATCCAAGTAGGCGCGCGGCCATAACGGCGCAAACCCATAACTTGCTTTAAGATTGTCGAATCTTACCAAATTTAGTATTAAACGATTCCTCTCATCGAGCTAAAGAGATTGGTACCAAAATTGGCAAGGGCCAGAAATCTTCCAGCAAGTTATAGCTTTGCGTCGTTATGGCCGCGCGCCGATGTACCCTCATTTTTTTTATCAATTTTTAAGACTAACTGTACTAATATGGAGAATTGTAACAACTTAACCAGATTCAAAAAATATTGTCTCGATCGACTTGACTACATTTACGCGGCTTGGAACGCTTTAAGTTCATATTCAGAAAAACTTGAACTAAAAAATAAAAATTTGGAAGAAGAAAAGAAAACTTGGGAGGAAGAAAGGAAAAGTTGGGAGGAAAAAATAAAAAATTTGGAGGAAGAAAATAACATTTTAAAAGAAGAAAAGAATTTGGCGTACAAAAAACTTGAAGAAATGACTCTAGTGTTCAACACATTTATTAATCAAGACGTCAAGCAGCGCAACATTTTTGAAGAAATTGAAAGTCCAGAAAATGTACGGAGGTTTTTTTAGGCTTATGGGAAGATGGTGGGGACTAACTTAAGGAATTTGGGTATTTCGATTTATACCTCCACATGTCCGCAAATTTTTGTCTTGCTTTTCCCTCTCTTTTTTCCCACACAAAGGTTCAAAAATTTATAAGGTTGATAAAGGTCAGGCAAACAAAATGTCGGACACGTAGATTTCCACATTTCCAGTTGCGGACAGACATTTGCGGATAAAAATTGCGGACGAATAGTACAGAAATTCTCTCTAATCTAAAATTTTTTCCAGATATCAGCAAATACCTCAACTTCAATTGAACCCGAGTCACAAAACAACTACAACAATGTTGCTGGTCCTTCAAATCATATCGAGCTTACTACATTACAACCACTCAATTCCAAGCAATTTCAAGTTTTATTTCCAGTGTCTCCATTGCCTCCACGAATTGAAAAAAGAACTATTTGGGATGAGGTTGACGATGAGGAAGGGGAAAATAAAGAAGAAAATTTGGAGGAAAATGAAGAAAATTTTGAAGAGAAGGAAAATTTGGAGGAAGAAAACGAAGACGATTGTTGGTAATTTATTTTAAAATATGCAAAGAAATCCTGGTGATAATTTAGAAAAAAATTTTTTTAGAGATTTATAACAAAAAATACCCATTTATTCCAATTTTAACCCTTTTTTTCATATGCCTCAATTTTTGTGTGTATGTATATTTTTGTTCTTTTTTGTATTAGAATTTATCTAAAAAAATTAAATTTTTTTTTAGGAATTTGCAATTATTGAAAGAAAAAGTTTAGGGGTTTTAAGGTCTTTTAATTGCAGCACTGATAATTAATAATCAACAACTCATTGTTGATAACGATTTTGCACCAAGAAAATGATTGATTGGCGCAGTTAAGTGAATGTGACTGCCTGTTGCCCACTCGCCAAAAAATACTCGCTAGCATCCCTGTTCAGCTGTAGATTTTTCTTTTTACGATTTTGCACGTGGACAAATAGTGGTTCCTCCTTGGTGATACCCCCTAATTTTTTTTCAAAAAAATTTTTTTTGTTTCTGTGCCTGTTTTTTCCAGTTTTTTAAATCCAATCCTTTGCTTTTTTTCTCACCTTCCTCCATTTTCACAAGTTTACCCAAAATAAAAATTTTTTTTCGTTTATTTGTAAAAAATAGAAATATTTTGTTCACTCTTACATTATTGCCATAAATTGTAAAACTAAAATTTATTTTTCTGTTTAAGCTAGAAAAATTTTTTTTTAATATGTAATTTTGTCTTATGGCATTAATGTTTGGAGTGGTTTTACAACAATAAAAAATTTGTAAAAAATTTAAAGCCTGTATTTAGTGATTTTTTTCTTTTCCCTATCATATATAAGCAATTACGTAAAATTATGTTTAATTTTCAAAATTTTTTTTTCCAAAAAATTTTTTTTAGTTGAGAAGAAAATCACCAATAGGCAAAAGAACTATAGGTGAAAATAACTAGTCTAAAATATGGGAACAGGAAAAAATTTAGAAAATATTTAAGTGTTATAACTAGAGATTGGACTGATAGACAAGAATCAAAAATAGAACTCTTGAAAAGGTGAAAATTTTCGAAATAAAATAATCGTTCAAGATCTCAGTCCGATTTCCAGTTATAAAAAAAATTAAAAAAATTAAAATATCTAAAATATGCGACAGGAAATGAATATAAAAAATTTATAAAAAAATATCTAGCATTAAAATTGTCTAAAACAAACTACAGGGAGTGGATTTGTTCGAGGTGGAATAGAGTGGCCGGATATGAAGAAGATTGGAGAGAAGAATGTGAAGAGAAGGAGAAAAGAAGAACGGATGAATACTAAAAAAGAAGAGGCACGGATAAAAGAAAATGAAAAATAATGGAAAAAGAAGAAGGGACGGATAAAAGAAAAGAGGAAGAAGAAGAAAAGTAGGGGAAAATGAAGAAGAAGAGGAAGACGGATAAAAGAAGAATACCAACGGAAAAATGAAAAAGAGGCATGGATAAAAGAAATTGAGAGACCGGAAAAAAGAAGGGGAAGGAGACGGAAAAATGAAAAAAATGAGGGGAAGAGAAAGGGGAAATTAATAATACCGGCGGTTTTCCATAATTTCGAGGACTCGGTCCCCAAAGACATTGAGCCCGTCGTTAAAGAGTCTATTAACTCTAGCCAAATCTGCTTCCAACCCTTCGATCTTTAATTTAAAAAATATTTTTATTTGTTTAAAATTTTTAGGTACTCTCGTGTTATCCGTCTACATTTTTTATTGACCCCTCTTTTCCTTCTCCTTTCCTCCTCATGCCTTTATTTCTAATTTCTTTTTTAGATCACAAAATGGTCAAAGGCAATTAAAGGGCAAGAATTAAATTCATTTATAAAAAAGCGAAATATGGGAACAGAACAGAATTTTTTGAAAGGATTTTTAACCAAATTGCGGCACTTTGGGTGTTATACATATGTATATTGTTTGTATATTGTTGACCATTTTGTAATGCCAATGAGAAACTAAAATGAAAGCATAAGAAGGAAAGGAGAAGGAAAAGAGGGGCAATAAAATTAGACGGATAAACAAGATTTCCATTTTTAATTACCCTTTCATCCCTTCGATTCAACTCGATTTCGAGTTCCACATTCCTCAGCTCCAAATTAGCGTTCCTTAAACCCAAATCAGCCACTCTCCTCTCGAGCTCCAAATTTCTCTCCCTCAAAATCTCTAACTCGTTGGGCTGTTGGACCTGTGATTAGACGGGGTAATTATTGTTTCAATATCTCGCTGGGGGGAATTAATAGAGAGGGGGTAATTATTTGAGATTATTTTAGGAAGGCTGATTATAACTATTTTTAAGAGGGTAATTATTTGAGGGAGGGCAATGTTTGAGTAAAATTGGGGTTTTGTAAAGCATATGGCTATTAAACTCTTAAAAGATATTAATGTGTCATTTATGTAGTGGATAACACATCAGTCTGTTAAAGGGAATGTCCCAGACATCGAAATAACCACATGCATTAGTCTAAGGAGAGAAATAGCAAAGCTCAGTTCAGCTTTACCCTTTTTTAAATTTTATTAAAAAATTTTCAAGTCCTCTACCTCCTCCTCATTATCCCCATTAAATTCCACTTCATTTCCAACCGCATCCCCATCTTCTTCTCCAACCTCTTCTTCAACAACATCAACCTCATATTCTTCCTCATTTCCACCAACTCCAACTTCATCTCCACCTTCCACTCCAACAACCTCATCTCCAACCTCATTTTCTTCATTTTCCACCACATTTTCCACAATAGCAATTTCGGGCAATTCCCCCTGCTATACATATGTATTTATTATTAAAATTTTTACATTTTCCATATTATAAATTCGCAAAAGCAAAATTGAAAATTTCCCAAGAAAATCCATTCCGGAAATTTTTGTTAAAATGAGGAATTTTTATTCGTAAAGCTTTATCATTTTTTATTCCTTTGTCTTAAAAAGGCGGCGTGGTGTAGTGGGTAACACATCCGTCCGATCAACAGTTAAGATCTTGGTTCGACCCCAGCCGTCGAAATAATTTTTTACACAGCTTAGGGAGTATAGTTATGCCCATTTGAGTATTTTTATAATATTTTAAATTTTTTAAAAATTTTACTTCAATTTCCTCCTCTTCACCAACCTCCAATCTACCCAAACGAAGCGCCTAAGTTTATTTAAAAATTAAAAAAATTTTGCCTTTTGTTTTAATCTCTTTTTTTAATTTAATTGTAATTGTTCGAATATTTACCCTGGGACAATTATTGTTTCAACCTCTCGCCAGAGAGGGTAATTAATGGAGTTAATTTTTTGTGGTTATTTTAGAAAGGCTAATTTTAACTATTTTTAAGAGAGTGAATATTTCTCAATCTCCAACTGAAGGATATTAGGAAGGGGGTATTTATTTGAAGGACGGGGAAAATAATTTAGTAAATTTAAATTTAAAAAATTTTTCACCGCACACGCTGCATTGTGTTCCTTCCTCGGAAACACTTCTGTGCCCTCTTCTTTGTTAAGCGTAAATACGCTACCACGACATTTTAATGATTTATTTTTTTTACATTCCCAAATAACTCGGGGAATTAATTTAGTTGTTCTTATGTAGTAATATTCAATATTATTATAAGTTAAAAAAATTTTTCCACTTTTTAATGATTTTTCAAAATGTGCCATTGAATAATTTTAATTTTTTGTTTTTTATCTGTTAAAATATTATTAAAATTTTAAAATTATTGTTTCGACTTTCCGCTGGTGAATTAATCGAGGGAGGGTATTTTTTATATGTATGTTTAAAAAATTGTTAAAAAAGACAAGAATTTGAGTTATTCAATAATTTAGAAAAGTATAAATGTAGCTTATAATAAGGATGGCATTTCCGGGAAAAGGGGACGCCAATCACATTTAATTTTTATTCCAATTTTCTTTTCTCATGAAAAGGAAAGGGTTTTTTAATTCTCTCTTTGAAGAAAAAGATAGGAAAAGGTGAGAGGCACTTCCGTTTATTATCTATTTTTTAAGTTAAATTAAACAAAAATACAAATTAAGACAATGCGGGGGTGTTGGGCACTTGTGCTTGAAAAAAATTTCATTAGGAGGATTCAGAGTATATCGAGGGATTAAATGGATAGAAGAGCTTGTGATTAATTATTCACATTTTTTTCTTTTTTTTCGCATAATTTTGGTTATTTTGAAAATTAAAAAAAAGATGACCAGCTTTTTTAATAAAATTTTGTGTATAATAATTTATCTTCCGAATTAAAAACAAATATTTGCTTAAATGCTCATGCATGGTTCGAACCTAACACTTATTTTCTCACCCAACCTAACACAATATCCAATCAGCTGCAAGGCCATAGAAAAAAGTTTACGGAAATTATATTAAAGTCATAAGAATATTGATGTACATATAGATACATAAGTAATTTAAAAAAATATTAAATGAGTTTACCTAATTTTTTATAATAAAAAATAGACACATTTCCGGTGAAACACACACAAAAATTTAAAAATTTTCCCACAAAATTATATTTCCCTAAATAAGTAATTAACTGAGGGTTTATTTTTGATATAAGAAGAAAAATTTGAATTTAGGCAGAATTTTTTTTTCATCTCTTTTAACTCGCTGAAAAGACAGCACTTGAAAATTATGTCACGGTGTAGGAGAGGGACAATGAAAATTATTATTTGAGGTTTTGGGAGAATTATTGGGTGGGGGGATTATTCTACAACAATTATTGCATTGATTTGGAGTAGATAATTTTAAAATTTTTTTTGAATTTTATTGCTTCGAGGACTTGATATTTGTGGTTAATTTTTAAATTTTGTTTTTAAATTAAATAACAAAAAAATTTAAATATTTTTTAATCGAATAAATTTTTAAAAATTATTTTTTTGTTTTGAATTTTGTATTTTATAAAAATATATAAAATATATTTTTAATATTTTTTAAAATTAATTTTACACATTTTTTAATGCTTTTAAGCTTGAATAATTATTTCAAAAATTGGATTTAACCTAATTATGGATCAACAAAAATTTTATATTTGCAACACCAACGGCGACGACGACAGTGGAGATGGAAGTGAGCTTAAACCCTTGAAAAGTTTGTTTCGAGCAATGCAATTGGCTGGGACCTCAGAAGGTGATTTTCTTGTTTCTGCAGTAAAAGAAGGCGAGGCAAAACAGTGGGATAAACCGTCGAAATCTGCATTGAAAAAAGCTACCGGTCGATTTGATGAAGAGCGAAGAAAACGTGAGAAAAAGTTGGCGGCTGTGGAAAAGGAAGCTTCGCAAATTGTGGATGAAAAGAAGCGTTTGGAAGATGCGAAGAAAATACAAATCAAACTCGATTCGTCACTTCCTGCTCCAAGTAAAGTGAAGATACGTGATTGTTCTACAATGTGTGGACAAAGAGTTCAAATTTTTGGCTTTGTACATCGCTGTCGACAACAAAGTTTGTTTTAATAAGATTTTGGTTTCCCTTTAATTTTGAGATTTTGAGGGTCCGGGTTCGAATCTTCCTCTTATTATTTTACAAAATGGATCTTTTGTGGGAGACGGAAGCACCATGCCAGGGACATCTTAAATCCATAAAACCATCAAACAGACCTCGGTATCGCATCCATGGACGAAGCGGGGAAACCATAGAGGGTGGAAAAAGCGATACAATGGCCCGCTTGTTTTATGGGTATAAAGGGGTTATTTAAAATTATTCCATTTTTATAGGAAAGGACTTGATTTTTGTTGTTCTTCGAGACGGGACTGGCTTTTTGCAATGTGTTTTGAGTGGATTACTTTGCCAAACTTATGAAGCTTTAACATTGAGCACGGAAAGCTCTATTTGTATATACGGAACGGTTTGCTTCTTTTCTCTTTTATTTTATCTTAAAAATTAGATAAACAAACTCCCTGAAGGAAAGACGGCCCCTGGTGGTGTAGAGCTCGTCGCTGATTTTTGGACTTTAATTCATGGAGCGCCGCCCGGTGGGATTGACAATGTGTTAAACGTCGAGGCAAATCCTGATGTTAAACTGGACAATCGTCATTTGTGCATTAGAGGAGAAAATTGTTCAGCAATTCTTCGAATACGAGCGGCCGTAACGCGTGCAGTTAGAGAACATTTTCATTCGCGTAAATATGTCGAAGTATGCCCTCCAACTCTTGTTCAAACGCAGGTTTATTAAAGATTCTTTTTAGACTTTCATGCCAAATTTAAGGTTGAGGGAGGCTCTACACTTTTTTCCTTAGACTTCTTTGGTGAACCAGCTTATTTAACCCAGTCATCGCAGCTTTATCTGGAAACATGCATTTCTTCTTTGGGCGATTGTTATTGTATAGCGCAGTCTTATAGAGCGGAAAAATCTCGAACGAGGCGTCATTTGGCTGAATACTCTCATGTTGAGGCAGAATGCCCATTTATTACTTTTGAAGGTTTTATTAAATTTTTAGAAAATTTCTTTAAGCTTTTTTTTATTTTTTAGAATTAATGAATAAAATTGAGGATCTTGTTTCTGATGTTGTTGACAGGGTTTTTAGCGATCCTGAAATTTCTGAATTGATATTGCAACGATGGGAAACGTCAAAGGTTTTTTTTAAAGTTATTCATTTAAGTAGTATACTGGTTTTGTTGAAAAAAGAGGAAGAAATGCTTCTTCGTTATTTTTGAGGTTTGCCAATTAGATAAGTCTCCTGAGAGACCTCCAAATTCGACCTGGTCGAATTTAGTCCGTGATTCAGAATAAAAAATATGAATTGATATTGGACTCGGCAACTCGATTGCCTACTGACAAACCTAAAAATATCGAAACAGCACTTCCTCGTATTTTTACAGGGATCAGTAAGCTAAATGATTACCAAAATATCCTTAAACAATTTGAATCAAATTTCAGGAAAAATTTCCTTCATTAAAACGTCCCTTTCTTCGAATGACTTATGCTGATGCAATTGAATGGCTGCGCAAAAATAATGTAAATAACGAAGAAGGGAAGCCGTTTGAGTTTGGAGAAGACATTCCAGAGGGTCCTGAACGACAAATGACTGATACAATTGGCCAGGTTTTTTTTTAATTTTTTTAAGTTCAAAAAAATATTTTTTAAAGCCAATATTGCTGAATCGTTTCCCAGCTGGGATTAAAGCCTTTTACATTTCTCGTTGTGAAGATGAAGAAGAAAAAAAGGATTTGACAGAATCTGTAGATTTATTAATGCCTGGAGTTGGGGAAGTTGTTGGCGGTTCAATGAGGATTTGGAAAGAGGAAGAACTTTTAGAAGCTTTTAAAAGAACTAATATTGACCCTAAACACTATTATTGGTATGTAGACCAGAGAAAGTATGGAGGGTGTCCACATGGAGGTTATGGACTTGGATTGGAACGGTTTGTTTGCTGGTTAGCTAATCAACACCATATAAGAGATGTTTGTTTATATCCACGTTTTATTGGACGATGTGCCCCGTAAAATTTTGTTAATTCATTAAATTATAGTCGTTATTGTGAGTTTATTTTTGAAATTATTGTCCCAAAAAGAACATGTGTGACTGTTTAAAAATTTTTAAATTGTTGGTAAAAAGTCTGTTGTTATAAAAAAATTTTAAGATATTGAGATTCATTATTTTTAAGATAAGACCTATACCTAGGAATTTCACGGTTATCCGGGCTATTATTCGACTCGAACCCCGATTCCAGAAATTTTTAACTCGACTGATTTTCTCCAATAGGTGACCCGGACTTTTTTCGACCTAAAACCCGCTCTAAGAAAATTTTGAAACCCAGACTCGATGACATCCCTGATACCTATAAAAATATTTCTAACAATAAGATAAGATTTATTGACAAGAATTTATTTAAAAAGTGGCTAAATATAAAAAATAGCACAATCAATATACTTTTTTGAATTATAAGATTAATAGTAAGGGCTGCATGTGAAAAAACAAAACAAATTAAACTTAAAAATAAGAAATTAAATAAAAAGATTTTCCACTCCAAAATTAGAAAGAGCGATTAATATACATTTTGATGTAAAAGAAATTTTCGTTGGGCAAGGTCTCAAAAATAAGAAAAAAAAATTTGAACATCCTCCCAAAAATTTTTAAATTTCCTTGCCCAATAATACAGATGAAAAATACTCGTAAAAAATATGAAAAAATACAAAATTTAGAAAAATAGGAAAGGCCTTCAATATATTAAAAATAAGAAGTTAGCGTAAATTAGTATATTAATTTTAGAAAAATTTTCCATAGGGTTTACTTTTGTTATCCACTGTTGTTGTTGTTGCTGGATCATCTCCTTCGGGTGACATACAACACTTAACCTCTTTAGTTTTTCCAACATTAATTGCTTGTACCACAGTTTTGAGTATATCATTTTGACTTGGCATTGGTGTTGGAGCAACATATTGCTGTTGTGGTTGAGGAGGTTGTTGGTGTTGAAGTAGGGCTGGTGGTGGAATTTGAGGAGAAGCAACACGAGGTGTTGCTGTTGTAGGTGGTACAAGTGATGGTGGTGGTGTAGTAAAGAGAAGAGGAACTTGTTGTGGGAAAGGTGGTGGCGGGGGTAGTCTTTGCTGTTGGGGAGTAACCGTTTCTAAAATAAATTTCGGCTATAACCTTTAAAAATATAAAAAAATAACCTGAACTTAAAATTCGACTTTTTACTTCATTTTCTGTTGCATCTCTAGAAGATAAATTAGAAGAATGATGAAGTTGTTGTTGTAGGTTCAATGGAAGCTGGGGAGGTGGCGTTGTTGTTAGCGATGTAAGTATAGGAGGGGGTGGCCTAGGAAAAACAAGTTGACATTGAGAGAAGAGGGAAGGCAGCTTTTTGTGTTTATGACGAGGAATAATTATTGAATCTTAAAAAAGGGATTTGAATTAAAAAAGGCAAAAAAAAATTTTAAAAAAACCTGGAGTTAAATTTGGACTTTCAGCATCTTTAGAAGTTAATGGGGGACGTGGAGGAGGATGTAGAAATTGTTGTTGTAGTTGTGATGGCGGTGGTGGTAATCTTTGGCGTATTTGTTGAGGAAGTCTAGGAGGTGGAGCTGTAAATGATGTTACCATTGTTGTTGTTGTGGGTATAAAAGGAGGCGGTGGTGTAGAGAAACAAAGTGGAACTTGAGAAAAAAGAGAAGGCGGCCTTTTTTGTTGTTGTGGAATAGTTGATGATTCTATTTAAAAATTTTTTTTTGGATTTTAAAATTTAAGTAAAAAACCTGAAGCTAAAACTTGACTTCTGCTTATATTTTCTATTTGAGGAGGAGGATAAAGAAATTGATGTTGTGTTGTTATAGGTGGTGGTAGTTGGTGGTGCTGTGATGGGGGCAGAAGAGGAGCTAAAAACTTTTTTGAATTTTTTGTTTTTGTAAAATTTTAGGTATTCGTCTAGTTTATGAATTCAATGCTCAAGCTTCTATTGGACTCACAAACTAAACTAGAGCCGTAGATTTTTTACTAACCTCTTATTATTGTTGTGGGTATAGGTGGTGGCGGCCTAGTAAAAACAAGTTGACTTTGTGGAAATAAAGTTGGTGGTGATTTTATTTGTTGCTGCTGCTGTGGACTAATTGAAGTGTCTAAATTTAAAAAAGTTTCAAATTCCTCAAAATTTGCAAAAAAAAATACCCGAAATTAAAATAGGACTTTTTCCTTCATCTCCCACCACAGCTTCTCTACTTGTTGAAGGAAATGATGAATTATTGGTGCTACACAACATTGGAGGTGGTGCTGGTGGTGGGGGTAGAAATATTCCAGAAGATGAAGAGGAAGTACTGCTAATTTCCATTGCTGCTTCTAATTCGTTTGAAACGTTTAATAAATTTTGTTGTTCTTGTAAAAATTGGTGTTGAGGCTGTGACTGTTCCAAATGACTTCCAGATGCTGCTGGGCTTTAAATAAAAAAGATTTTAGCTGAATATACTCAAATTGTTCTAATAAAAGCCCTGGGCTCCTATTTTAATGAGGTGGATTTAATTAAAAAACTCCTATTTAATGAGACTTTTATTAGAGGTGGACTTCTATTAGAGACGGGTCTCTATTAGAGACAAGCGATGTCGAATCTACAAGCGATGTCGAATCTGGAAATGCACCATGTTCTAGTCAACAATTACCACCACCTGTTACTCCATTTCCGTCTTCTGTTACTAATAGGCCTCTAAATAGAATTGAACTTGCAAGGCAGGAACATGATAATAGTATGGTCCAAACTTTTTTACATAAAGATGATTTAATGGAAAGAATTTTGGCTTATAAAATGTTAAGAGGAAAAGTTGAATCTTATTTAACGATGAAAGCAAAAATTGATCTTAATACTTGTATTACGCCTGAATATGAGGTTTGTTTATTTAGTATTTTAAAAACCCTTCCGAAAACGTTTAAATTTTCCGTAAGATCCTATTTTTGAATTCTGCCATGGAAGCAGCTCGAATTCTGCCATGGAAGCAGCACTAATCCCCTTCCTCTACCTTTTCCTTGAATAAGGGAACGTCTCGAACTCTAACACAACATTGTGTAGAGCCAAGTCGCTTTACTAGTGCCAATTTTTTTCTTTTTCTGGCCTTTACCTCGAAATTAGAAAAAAACCGATTTTACTCTACACAATGGTGTCTCTAGGCTTTACACGGTTCAATACCGCAAAAAAGCTTTTTGGACATAGTTCGAGCTGTTCCCTTTTTGAAACTTAAAGTACACCAATTCAAAACCCCAAATAATTTCCTTTAAACAAATTTTTTCAGATCAGGCCAGATTTAGTAGAACCAGTTTCTGATCGTTTACATCCAAAATTGGAAACATTGATTAAACAAGAACAAACTGAAGCAATAAAAGAAGTGGAAGAAAATCCTCCTCTTCCTCCACCTTTTCCTCCTCCACCTTTATTCGATTCTTCATCATCTTTTATTCCTCCACCGCCTCCTTCTTTAATTCCTTCTGAAGCTGCTATTTCACAGGTTTTTTTGTTTAAATTTATTGACTAAATAACTTTCTCAAGGCCTTACACGGTCCAATGACCCCACCAGGTTCTCCCGGAACTAATCAGAGTTCTTTATCTGCTACTGGGAATAACCACCAACAACAAAAGAATCATCAACAAGAAATATTTCCTTGTACTTCTGATACTTTAATGACTAATGAAGAAATGGTTTCACAGAAACAGTTTAAATTGGAGGTAAAACAGGGGCATACATTTTTGGATCATGCCATTGTTAGGGAGATCCAACTACGGGGTATATGTAGGTATTAAAAGAGAAGAGGAAAACAGAGTTCCGTGAGCTCACATCAGTCAGTAGAAAACCTCTTTATGGTGAGTGAAAATGAGCATAACAATAACTGCCCAGGAGGTCGCAGGATCGATGCCTATCTCTGTTTTACCCCATCCACTTCAAAAAATACTTTGACAAGATTTCCCTTCAATTTTATGAATTTTCATTTCCCTAATTTTTTTAGAAATCTGAATCAACAATAAAGAATTGTTCAACAAATGAAGAATTATTTAAAAAATTTGGTGCAATGCTTGGATTACCACAACATCAAATTTTAACATTTTTCGGTGTTGATTCGAAGAAATATGGTGATTTACAATTTGATGAATTATTGGCAACTTTTAGAGAATCTCTAACTAAACATTTAGAAGAGAAGGAGAAAAAGAAACTTGAAACTGGTGGAAAAAGGTTTTAATTTTGATTATTTTTTAGAATTAATGAATAAAATTGAGGATCTTGTTTCTGATGTTGTTGACAGGGTTTTTAGCGATCCTGAAATTTCTGAATTGATATTGCAACGATGGGAAACGTCAAAGGTTTTTTTTAAAGTTATTCATTTAAGTAGTATACTGGTTTTGTTGAAAAAAGAGGAAGAAATGCTTCTTCGTTATTTTTGAGGTTTGCCAATTAGATAAGTCTCCTGAGAGACCTCCAAATTCGACCTGGTCGAATTTAGTCCGTGATTCAGAATAAAAAATATGAATTGATATTGGACTCGGCAACTCGATTGCCTACTGACAAACCTAAAAATATCGAAACAGCACTTCCTCGTATTTTTACAGGGATCAGTAAGCTAAATGATTACCAAAATATCCTTAAACAATTTGAATCAAATTTCAGGAAAAATTTCCTTCATTAAAACGTCCCTTTCTTCGAATGACTTATGCTGATGCAATTGAATGGCTGCGCAAAAATAATGTAAATAACGAAGAAGGGAAGCCGTTTGAGTTTGGAGAAGACATTCCAGAGGGTCCTGAACGACAAATGACTGATACAATTGGCCAGGTTTTTTTTTAATTTTTTTAAGTTCAAAAAAATATTTTTTAAAGCCAATATTGCTGAATCGTTTCCCAGCTGGGATTAAAGCCTTTTACATTTCTCGTTGTGAAGATGAAGAAGAAAAAAAGGATTTGACAGAATCTGTAGATTTATTAATGCCTGGAGTTGGGGAAGTTGTTGGCGGTTCAATGAGGATTTGGAAAGAGGAAGAACTTTTAGAAGCTTTTAAAAGAACTAATATTGACCCTAAACACTATTATTGGTATGTAGACCAGAGAAAGTATGGAGGGTGTCCACATGGAGGTTATGGACTTGGATTGGAACGGTTTGTTTGCTGGTTAGCTAATCAACACCATATAAGAGATGTTTGTTTATATCCACGTTTTATTGGACGATGTGCCCCGTAAAATTTTGTTAATTCATTAAATTATAGTCGTTATTGTGAGTTTATTTTTGAAATTATTGTCCCAAAAAGAACATGTGTGACTGTTTAAAAATTTTTAAATTGTTGGTAAAAAGTCTGTTGTTATAAAAAAATTTTAAGATATTGAGATTCATTATTTTTAAGATAAGACCTATACCTAGGAATTTCACGGTTATCCGGGCTATTATTCGACTCGAACCCCGATTCCAGAAATTTTTAACTCGACTGATTTTCTCCAATAGGTGACCCGGACTTTTTTCGACCTAAAACCCGCTCTAAGAAAATTTTGAAACCCAGACTCGATGACATCCCTGATACCTATAAAAATATTTCTAACAATAAGATAAGATTTATTGACAAGAATTTATTTAAAAAGTGGCTAAATATAAAAAATAGCACAATCAATATACTTTTTTGAATTATAAGATTAATAGTAAGGGCTGCATGTGAAAAAACAAAACAAATTAAACTTAAAAATAAGAAATTAAATAAAAAGATTTTCCACTCCAAAATTAGAAAGAGCGATTAATATACATTTTGATGTAAAAGAAATTTTCGTTGGGCAAGGTCTCAAAAATAAGAAAAAAAAATTTGAACATCCTCCCAAAAATTTTTAAATTTCCTTGCCCAATAATACAGATGAAAAATACTCGTAAAAAATATGAAAAAATACAAAATTTAGAAAAATAGGAAAGGCCTTCAATATATTAAAAATAAGAAGTTAGCGTAAATTAGTATATTAATTTTAGAAAAATTTTCCATAGGGTTTACTTTTGTTATCCACTGTTGTTGTTGTTGCTGGATCATCTCCTTCGGGTGACATACAACACTTAACCTCTTTAGTTTTTCCAACATTAATTGCTTGTACCACAGTTTTGAGTATATCATTTTGACTTGGCATTGGTGTTGGAGCAACATATTGCTGTTGTGGTTGAGGAGGTTGTTGGTGTTGAAGTAGGGCTGGTGGTGGAATTTGAGGAGAAGCAACACGAGGTGTTGCTGTTGTAGGTGGTACAAGTGATGGTGGTGGTGTAGTAAAGAGAAGAGGAACTTGTTGTGGGAAAGGTGGTGGCGGGGGTAGTCTTTGCTGTTGGGGAGTAACCGTTTCTAAAATAAATTTCGGCTATAACCTTTAAAAATATAAAAAAATAACCTGAACTTAAAATTCGACTTT